GGTTTGAGTATGAGCACAGCAGAAACTGATGGATTTCCCTGGAGAACTTCTATCTGCCTGATTCTGCCGAGTTGCTGTAGGAGGTTTCATCTCCCATTTTGAGAATGAGATTAGCTCTTTCTTGGCTCATGAACATCCGCCACACCTGCTCTAGTACATTCTAATGTCAATTATAAAAATACTAATGAGAAATGATTAGAAACATTGAATTAGCTCATAGTATGACAAACATACATTGCCTACATTAATCTCCTTAATTGGTCACTGCTAATTCATGAGCTAACATTGACAACTTTGTAAATGTTGTGTATGAGTAAATGGAATCAGAGAGGTATCTTTGGACAAATACAGACAGTCAGCTGGTAAGCAAGGTTTCTAACCCAGGCAGTCTGGGTCCAGAGCACTGACCTCGGAGCCACCGTGTGTGCAGAAATGTAAGTGCTAACACACTGATTCCCAGTGCACTGTGAACTCTCCTTCTGTGAGGAACATAGTTGTCATGTTCTTCAGTGCTAGATTCTGGAAGCAAAATCTGCATTTTTCAAATATTTCAATGTAAAACCGCATATTTATAGTAACATATGTTTAGCCCACAAAGCAAGTAAATTGGAAAAGACTTCCTTCTTTCCTGTCTACAGCATTTAAAGCAGATTGTTTATATAGGAGTCTATCTTTAACGAATATTTCTGTATGCTAGAACTTCAGAATACTGCTTAAATCAGAGTCAGGCCGCCTGACTCCATCTCATGATGATAGCTATGTGATCTAAGGAACCAAAAAAAATTCATCTCTGTATCCCCAACACAACTAAGCAAATGCATATCTTTGTTTTATAGTATTTGGGGACCTCAAAGCCTTGCAGCCCAGAGTGTGACCCATTGAATTAGAATGTAAGTGCAACCCAGCTCTATGCCCGGCCCCTTATTTCCCTAGCTGTATGATCCATATAATGACAATACTATTGCCTTCATTATGAGGCTGGTAAGCATAGAGGACCTAATACATCAACAGAATAGAGATGACTTCTGCTAACTTTTGTTTAAAAAGTGATCTGAAAGATATTGAAATCAGTTCAGTCTTCAATTATTTTTTTTTTAAATCAAAACATGGTTATAAACTAATCAGCGTTCAAAAAAGTTTAAAGCTACAACGGAAAGCAAGCTCTGTAATCCTTAATGCTTCCTAATTTTACTTTAGTGAAATTCTTATTCATGTGAAAATCTGATCTGCATGCAGCTTTGGAGCTGTCTCTCACTCACAGCTGCCCTGGCAGGCACTCCAGCAATAAGCTCCCATGAGCAAAGGAGGCAGATGAGGGAAAGCTATAAAATTCTTAGAAAGCAGCAGAGAGGAGGCCCAGAAGCTGGGAGGTGGAGGTGACATCTGGAAACCTCCCACTTCAACTTCTAATCTTTAAAATAAATTAATGTGATATATTAAATTGCAATGTCTAGATGAAGTGTACACATGACTAGAAATTAAGCAAAATGAAAAAAATAAGAGAGTACGTTTGACTGATGCGCTGAAGAAAAAAAAAAAGAGAACTTATGAGTCATGCCACCACTATGATTATGAAAGCCACACTACTTTACAAGTCAGTATGCAGGAATGCAAAGGAACCCATGACATATATACTAGATCTGTTGATGGGGAAGTGGGCTGTCACTCTGTTTCCTATGGTTTCCTGGAACTTTCCACAGTAGGAGGAGTAGTGGGAAAGTAAAAGGAAATGCCTGCTTTCTGTGCAAGATGCTTTGGGACTGAACATTAATCTTAAAATTCTAGCAGTCACAAAACTACTCGGTCTGTTGCTACTTCCTCTAAGCAAAGAATTACCATGAGATGAAAGAACCCACAGCAATAAACATCAGGGTAGGCTAGTATCTGCCTCTCCTTTGGACTCAAGCAGCCTGATCCAAGCCCAGGGATGCTTTTGAAGTCATGGAGACCTTTATGTACAGATCAATCCTTGCAGGGTAAAGAGCAAGAAAAATGGGCTCTCTGTCTCTCTCTCTCTCTCTGTTTCTCTCTCTCTCATATTCTGTCAGAGTGCACATTCAACTCTAGGCAGAACAGAACAAAATGCTCTTCTCTGCTGTAAACACAATGATTTTGTACTTGGGTGTTGCTTGCTTCAATTAACTTAGAGGGAATCTATTGATCCCAGCACGTAATTGTTTATACCATGCCATGTTTCCTTTTCGATAAGTCAAGAGCACAGTAGCAATAACTGTGAATTTTGTTACCTTAGTCATAAGGCATAGGTTGTGTTTTGGGTCATTTTAAGTGGAAAACTGCAAATGATTCTCTTTATAGCAAAGATCATTATTTGCTGACAAATGGGGTCAGTAGGAAGCATCAGTTTGTAGAAACTGTAAATTATCAAATTTTAGAGGTTAAAAGTTAAAATTAATTTTATTGATGGTATAAGCCGAACATTTGTTTGAACTTTTATATCACAGGTGCTTAGATTTGGCTAAAATCAAACTCAAACATTGTTTTGCAAATGTTCAGGGAAGTTTCCTTATACAGCAGACTGATGGGTTGCGAGGAACCCAGTCCCAACAGACAGATCTACAATACAACTCCAATACCTATTGTTCAGTTAGCACAGTTGAAAGAGTGTATAAAGATTGTAAGAGGTAGAACACCAGAAAGTTTGGTATGAGACTCAACCTCCTAGAAATGGCTTTGTAAGTAAACAAGACCTGAACGATGTCCATATCAATAGAAATGTCATGGTGGAAAGGGCATAATCTCATGGAATCCTGTCACTGGACAAAGAACTAACTACAGGTAACTAATGACTGATAATGGAGAGACAATTGCCTCTTTCAAGGACTCAGTGGTTGGCCCTGAAAAGACTCACACACACACACACACACACACACACACACACAGAGAGAGAGAGAGAGAGAGAGAACAGGTTGTATTTATATATTTGTGCATCTGTATTTATGTGTAACAATGATAATCAAAGAAAAAGAGGCCATCGATTTGACAGGGAGACACAGGAGTGGGAATAACTTGGTAGGGACGGGGGGAGACAAGGGGCACCTTAAAGGGATGAAGGGTTGGGGGAAATAATGTAATTGTACTTTAACTGAAATATATCTTTTCAAAAAAATCATAAATCTTCAATGTCTAAGCTCTTTATTCTGCAATAAAGATCAGTAAGCTGAATACATGGTATGTATCGGTATGCATAATGGGACTATTGGCATAAGAAACATAGGCATCTTATAAAGTAGTTTTCCTTAATTGTATTGGTCACAAAAAATATTCAATACAATAGAGTCATACAGTTTGTTTTATAATTTATTATAATAACATAAAGACAAAAATCCCTGTAACATTATAGATAAGAGGAATGGTTGCAATTGATTGTCACATAGAAAGAAGAGGTAAAAATTGAGCTATAAAATCAATCAGCAAGAAAAGGAGAAATAGATAAAAATACCAAAGGACAGTAGTTTCAAAATTTTTGTGGCACACAATGACTACAAAAAAAGTACATATGTCTTTGTTGAATATATCCTACCTGATTTATGCTAACATAAAATTATCTGTTACATATTTTAGGTTGAACAAATGTAAGGGATAAATGCACACAACCTACTGACAGAGTAAAAAGCTATTAATTGAGAAAACAAATATTATCCTAGTCCCTTCTGTATTAGCATCCATGATTCATTCACGTCTTGTCATTGAAGGAAACAGCCTGGAGGAGTATAATACATATTTTTCAACTGTCTGCACACGAATTTCACATGAGCTACACTCATTATTGTCAGACATCAGAACCATCTTAATATAAATGGCCCAATCTCATCAAATATCATATTTAATTGGAGAAATTCTGCAGTAGTCATCCTATTTTAGAATCACTTGCTTTATGAGTAATAGTCGTTAGCAGTAAGAGATGAAATGGCTTACAACAGTTGATGGGACCTTTTAACATTCTAGGTAACAGACCAAAATTCACTTGCTACTGGTTAAATTGTATCTCCTTCCACACATACCACTGCACACATCTACACTCATTCTCATAAGAAAATTAGGCTGCGGGCAGGTTTGTGTTCCATTGAGGAAGTAACAATAATAAGAAGAGCATCGTGCATGCTGCTCATCCTAGTATTTGTTGTACACACACACACACACACACACACACACACACACACACACATTCCGCCCCCCTATACACATGAATGAATAGGACTACAAATTTAAAAGACCAGTTTCCTATTGACATAAAGGCCATGTATTCCTTGACATTAATGTGGCTAACCTAAAGTCATTCAGAAATTGGGACAAAGAGTTTTAGACATGGTTTCAGTCATTCATCTGCTGTTTCCACCTCTCATATCACGTGCAGTGGGACATCAGGATGACCCAAATCGCATTTCCTCTCGAGTCCCCAGTCCCTCACTTTCCCTGATTGGCAATGACACCTTCTTCAGTGCCTTATAAAACAGCATGAAACCGTCTAGTTTTCAGAGTTAGGTCCTGAGGTATACAATACGCTTCCATTCTTTGTTCATCTAGCAGGGGTCCTGATGTCTTTCTATACAATGTGTCCAGTGAGTTCAAGCAAGGCAAACGAAAAGATGTTCATAGTACTATCCACATTATTAAGGAGAAACGAGGAGATGGACATGGCCACTCTAGCTGAGTCCATTCCACTGCAAGTGAAGGAAAAACTTCCTGCTCTTTTCACACTCCTGAGTTTGGCGGCATCTGACTGGCTCCACAGTAATTGGTAAGATGGCAAAACCTCTCCCCCATCCCTTTTTGAGTCCATAGTCAGACCATCGTCATACAGCTTGATTTCTTTTTAGCAGAAATCTGTTTCTGTTCTTCAAAATTAGGGCTTCGCTTAAACGGGCCAGCGATCTTGCCCCTTGGGAATCGATTTATTTCTACACAAGACAAATGTGGGCCTATTAGGGTCCAACATATTGAGTTGGAACTTGGCATGTGTATCACTTACGAGCACATACATTGATTTTACACGATTCCTCAATGTGGCCAGGTGGGTTCGTGGTCAGCACTGTATCCACCTATAAAAAATACAAAAATATATGTCTGCTTTACAGGGATGGGAGTAGGGTTTGGCCAGCGTAGTTGCAAATTGGCCAATGGTATTCTTTGCCTCTGAAAGATGTATTTGCAGTGGCCACAATCTTTTTCAGGAGTCACAGAGACATAGCAGTTCTCATTACAATTAACAATCCTGGGGCATCTACATGAATAGAGCTGGCCAGTCCAAAGGACGCCATCTCTGACAAGAGATGTTTGAGTAGTGGAGGAATCATTGAGTTAATTGTGTTCCAGGGTTCAAGCTTTTCAAGGCTATGAAATGTCAAGGAGAGGGAAGATGGAGCACAGAGAGCTGTATTCCATAATCAGAAGGGAGAGATATGGTAATTATGCTGCAGGTGCTATTTAACTTACACATCCATGTAGTGTCAGGGATGTGAGCTACAGCGAAATGTTCTCACCCTCCAAGAAGTCGCTTTAGTCTCTAAATGAAACGGTGAGATAGCTCAGTCTCCATTCGTAGAAGCCTAACAATTTACATGCAATGCACAAACGGGCGGCTGATTTCCAGTAATCATGCATTATACTGTTCTTCAAAGTCATGACGGCTGTCGGGTTGTGTTTCCCGCCTTCGTATCTAATTTGTAGAAATAGAAGTGATCATGCATTATGCCTGCAAAATGTTGTGGTGCAAACATAAGCTTTAAAAAACATTCAGTATTACTCTGAACTCGAGACCGATCAATGGGTTAATTTTGGCTGCCTATGCAAGGAATGACACAAAGCACTTTTGTTTTTTTCAATTTGATGCTACAAGTGGCTATAGTAAAATCTTTATTTAAGCCTCAAAAATTGCAAAAGAATGATGTAATTTTCAGTGCATGAACAAGGTGAATGAGGTTCATGACTGAAAGTACTTAAGAATCAGGGTAAGGGGAGAAAAATCTTCAATTTAAATTCCAAGGTCAGGCTATACCTGCATACAAATACCAACGGGAAAGAAGTAAATGCTGCTTTCCCCTGAATGCTTGCCCACTTATTTATAAAAGCCAATAGTGCAAGCAAATGACTGACTAATTTGAAAATTATTTGAAAGGAAGCCTAAATATGTTGAAGCAGCTTTTAAAAATGTCATAATTGCTTTTTAAACATTATCTGTTTCAAGAAATGTATTTTCTCTAGCAACTCTAAAAGTTTATAAATTTTAATATGTTTGATCAATGGCATAATCACACCATGAGTAAATATGGTGGGAATCTTATTTACATCAGATATACTTTAGCTTATTTCACAGGACTCGGGTCAGTACACATTTAATTTAACTCATGCTTTCTTATTCAAGGTATTTGAAAATTTTCGTTGTATGTCCTATTTGCAAATCAACTTGTTCTCCATGGCATAAACATAAAGCATGGAAAACATCCCATGTGCTGATTCTGTGTCTCCCACATATATGACATGCATATATCATGCTTATGACGCGTTTAACTGTTTTGTAGTCATTCGTTTAATGTCTCTATCATATTCAAGGCTCCACTGTCATCCCTGGGGGCAAACAACATGTTCACTCTACCCTACTCTTTCCCAGAATCTACACATGATTGGTTGGTAATGAATTGTGTTAATGATTGAATATATATTTGGGGAACTGGAAAACAAGTAAATCAAATTATTTGTTATTCCATGACATCATAAATAAAATTTTGAGATTGTGTGGGGAACCTTGCTGTGTATCATTTGCCATATGGCTTTTGATCTCAGAACAGAGCTATTTTGAATGGCAGCAAATGATATATATTTTGCTGGCATGTCCTTGTCTACAATTTTTTTTATTTAAGTTTAGTCTATACAAAAATATCATTAAGCTTCTTTTTACCTTTTCCACGTGAAAGTCATTTATTTTTCTTTAAAGGTGTAATCTATGCAAAATGTTCTGCAAAGCTTTTAATAAATGAAACATTTAAAAAAATAAAAGTCAGAAGAGTTTAAATGTTCTATTTTCAAATCTGACTTATAATTTCAACTTATAAACATAGCCAGGAATATAACACATTTTTATATGTGCCATCCTGTCACACAAGATAATGAAATTCCCTTATTAAAATGTTACTCAGAACTATTTCACAATTTTGACTAATTGTTGAGAGATATTTGTGGTTTTAGGTTGTAATACATGGAAAAAACACAAATGTATACTAACATCCACCTGTCACTAGAGTCAGGAGAGATGGGTTCTCATTTCACCATTAAAAAATATTGTTTCAAAAAAAGCTGGATATTTTAAATCATTCATTGAACTCACAGAGAACCATCTAGGAATCACAGTACTAAAAACTCTGTAGGTGAGGATCAGATTAGAAATGTATGTTACTGGGATGTGTTTGCTTCGATTTGAAGCAGGTAATTAAAATCGCCCTGGAAGTAATTTTCAGATCACCACTGCTAAGGAGATAGGCTCCAGTAAATCAGACCCAACCAATCTTTCAATCAGATCCAATTCAGGTAAAGTTGTAGAGACATGGACTGTGTCTTCACCTTTCAACCTTCCTCCTCAATTCATTTTTATCACTCAGGAAACTACTGATAAACACACACACACACACACACACACACACACTTGAAGCCAAGTCATTCTATACACCTTCCTATGAGACTCTCAAACCTTTCATCCAGTAACTAAAGGACCAATTAATTAATCTAGGTATGTACTTTATAAAAGTTATTAGAAAGTAGTTGTTTCAAAATTGGCCTTCCCCTTTTATTGTGTTCCCTGGACATCAACAGTGACAAGTGCTAAGAAAGGAAAACTGAAGTACTCAGAAAATAGAAAGAGGACTCATATCTAGGGATAAGAAAATACAGAACTCTCCACACAAGAATAGACCTACTTTTATCGATGATTCTTTAAAAAAAAAAAAAAAGAAATCCAAAACCACAAAAAAGTAAACTATATACTCTGTGAAAGAATATGTATGTACTTTTCTACTTATTTTCATTAAGTATGCTTCAATTCTAATCATGCACCTATGTAATTGGAGAAGATTAAGGGCACGTGTCTGTTGAATGTGTTTGCATATAATTGGCAATATGTAAAATAACTCTATGAATATGCATTATTTTTTCCTTGAGTGATGTTCAAATCGAGGAACAAGTAAGAGGTGTCTCATAAAAAAGCAGACTGTATTGCATAACACAGAAACCATGCTCATACTGATTTTTACAATCTAGGGGTTGAAGTTGTTATTAGTATTTGAGAGCCCAATAAGGAAGTCACTTTCAGTTATAATGAGAAAAGAACAGCCCCTCAACACAGAAGTTCATTATATTCCTGACAATTAAATGGAAAACAAGAAATATAGTAAACATAAGATTTAGATAGTCGAAGGCCTATAGAAAGGTAACCCTTAACAGTAAATTTTTATCTTTTCTTATGATCTATAGGAACAATTTACAGAAACTGCAAGCAGTTAATGACTGTGACGCCCATGTAGAGTGGATGAAGCTAGCATCCAGGACCCCAACACAAAGCACACTGACAGCTGAGCAAGCAGAAGAAGTAGATAACCTTCTTCTTCTTCTTCTTCTTCTCCTCCTCCTCCTCCTCCTCCTCCTCCTCCTTCTCCTTCTCCTCCTCCTCCTTCTCCTTCTCCTTCTCCTCCTTCTCCTTCTTCTTGTCACCATTATTTAACCCTTCTCCCAGATCACCAGTTATCAGTTGAGAGACTTGTGGAGCTGGAATGCATATGTATGTATGTCTGTATGTATGCATGCATATATGTACGTATACGTGTATATGTATATGTGTGTGTGTGTGTGTGTGTGTGTGTGTGTGTGTGTGTGTATGTATGTACCTGGAGGAAAAGAACTTCCTTATCGCTGACAACACAGGGCTAAACATGGATCTACACAAACAGGCAATGCTATGTTTCCATCAGTGCGCAACTGTTGCTTCATACACCCTGTCCCAACACTCTTCTTCAGAGTAGCTCCCACTCCTCATGTAATCTAACCATAAAAATGTCTCCCTGTCTCTTTGATTTTATTTCCTTATGATAGATCCTATATCATGAAAAGTATACATCGAATATACTTTTTATGAACTTCCAAAAATATAAGGAAAGAAGTTTTTCTTCACCAGAGTGTTTATTAAAATATCCCTTAACCTTGCAAAGGCCTTGTGGAGCATCAGCCAGAACTTTGATCTCATCACATGGAAGAAAATGACTCCCAGAGACGGGAATCTCCTTCTTTAAAATTATATTCGGATAAGGGATAAACTCAGAGACCCAAGCCAAGACTTGGAACTCCTAATCAAACCCATTTTTCATTATACTGTGATGGGAGATGTCATTCTGTAAATATGTTTCTCTTATTGGTTAATGAATAAAGCACTGTTGGCCAATAGGAAAGCAAGATACGCGGGACTTGGAAACAAGGAAGAAAGAGGAAGTAGTAAGGAGGGGTCAAGATGGAAGGCGGAAAGAGCAGAACGCCAGCGGGCTCTCTCTCCGGTAAGATAAGACCACGTGGAGATTAATAGAAATGGGTTAATAATTGAGACAGAGCTAGATGATAAGAAACTAGGAAACAAGGAGGAAAGAGGAAGTAGTAAGGATGAGTCAAAATGGAGAGTCTGGAGAGAGCAGGACGCCAGCCGGCTCTCCGGTAAGATAAGACCACGTGGAAATACATAGATTAACAGCAATGGGCTAATACTTAAGACAGCTAGCCGAAAAGAAACTAGTACCTGGCCAACAGATTTATATCAAATACAGCATCTCTGTGTTAATTGGGGCTGGCGCAGCAGCGGGACAAGACCAGCGGTGGGAGGAAAAAACTTACTCCTTACAACACTGTTTGCACACTAATTGCTGTTTAACTCTGACCAAAACAAAAATACGCAACCGTGTTATAATGGTAACTTCCCCCATTTGGGACATGGTTTAATAGATAATAATCAAAATTGTATACTTCTCAAAACATTATAAATGAACTTGTTATGATGATTCCCAGAAGCTTA